TGGTAATTTTTCTAGTAGGTGGTTTGAGTAGGTGAACATAAGAATCCTATAAGAATCTGAAAACATGCAGATGTCTTGATCTTCCTCAAAATATACAGAGGGAGTCAAAGCATTTGTATTTTTAAAAAGCACAAAAGTTCCCTCACCTTGGGTTATGTAGTAAACCCTCCGGAATTAGAGATCTTCTTGAACTGTCAGTCAGTCATCCCCAAAGATCTGCTGCTTGTCATCACCCTGACATAGCTATGTCAATGTGTCCCATTCTCTTTGCGCTAAGAAGAGAATCTAGTTACTCTTCTTGCCCCTAGCCAGTATCTCCCAGAATTTTCTCTTATATAGTAAATCTTACTAAGAGTCAGAAAGGGCAACTTCAAATATTTAATCAATGTTACTTTATTTCACAGGGAAATTTTTATGCTAGTGCAGCATTTGTGAATTGAAAATTAGAAAGTTCTTTAGTGTATCTCTTTCCAATGTCAAGGGTATACCATTTCTAGTTTATACTGATATTGTGACTATAACTTTGATGGAAAATATCCTACAAACACAGTAATTTTAAGGAAAGGAAATATGTCATCTTTTTGTTCTGACTTTTTAATCCTAAATCTTCTTCAAGGAAATGCCTTCTTCTTAAAGACTATTAACATACTTAATTTTCATGGTAACCTTTCTTGTTTCTAATTGTGAGGCATTTGCAATTATTTTGGTGCCTAAATACTATGGTTTTTATTGTGCTTCAATATTTACATTAGAATTTTTTCTCTACAAGTACAAGGCTCTTAAAGGCTGAGATTTGTAGTACCCCATGCACTGCTGGGAAAACAGTGGTCCCTTCTTATCTGTGGTTTTGATTCTGCGGTTTCTGTTACCCGTGGTCAACTATGGTCCAAAAAATATGAAATGGAAAATCCCTGAAATAACCAATTCATAAGTTTTAAATTGCAGCCATTCTGAGTAGCATGATGAAATCTTGCACTGTCCTGCTCAGCATTGCCTAGGACATACATAAATCATCCCTTTGCCCGGAATATCCTGTGTTAGTCACTCAATGGCCATCTGGGTTATCAGATGACTACTGCTGTGTTACCACAGTGCTTGTGTTCATCACCCTTATTTTACTTAATAATGACCCCAGAACACAGAGTAGGGATGCTGGCAACTCGGATATGCCCAAGAGAAGCTGTAAAGTGCTTCCTTTATGTGAAAAGGTTCAAGTTCCAGACTTAAAAAGGAAAGAAAAAAAAGTGCTGAGGTTGCTAAGATCTACACTATGAACTAATCTTCTATTTGTGAAATTGTGAAGAAGGAAAAAGAAATCCGTGCTAGTTTTTGTTGTTGTACTTCAAGCTGCAGAAGTTATTGCCACAGCGTGTGATAAGTGCTTAGTTAAGATGGAAAATGCATTACATTTGTACAATGAAAGGGAGAGAAACTACACTCACATAACTTTTATTACAGTATATTACTATAATTATTTTTACTGTATTATTGGTTATTGTTATTAATCTCTTACTGTGCATAATTTATAAATTAAAGTTCATCATAGGTATGTCTGTATAGGAAAAAACATAGTATCTACAGGGTTCAGTACTATTTGTGGTTTCAGGCATCCACTGGGGGTCTTGGAACATAACTCCCACAGGTAAAGGGAGATAATTGTTTTCTCAAGTACATTTTAAGTGCATGAAACTCATATATTGAATTGAATGAAATAAAAACATCTTTCTTAACAGAGAAACTGATTTTATCAGTTCCAGCTAAGCAAAGTTATTACCTATTTATTTATTTTTTTGTACAGTTAGAAAATCTAATGAGATTAAAGAAAGTGACCATTTTCTTTTTGCAGCTGGTCTTAAAAATATGACTGCCATCTTGGTATCATGCATTGTTGTTTTTAGAAGAATGCATTTCAAAAACTATTGTATTCATATGTAAACAGCAAAACCAACCTTTAGTAGCTACGTTTAGTGTGAGTCTGGTGTGTACATACACATTCTGATGTCTGTGTTTGGTTTAAACGTGTGTGGTGAGGTGAGAGGAGAAACTTTCCTTACGGTAATCATCAAAGCAATACTTAGATGAGAAACATACAACAGGTGTGTGATTCAAGATAAGTTACATCCGTTATTATCCAAAAAATTTAAATCTCTTCACTTTGCTTACTACAATAGTAATGCATCACCTGTGTGGAGGATTTCTTGGCATTATTGGCTGACCTTAATATTTATCATAAAAACACTGTTAAAGGAATGACATTGTAAATGCTCTCTTCCACTTTTATGAAAGTGTTATTAAAATGTCTTTACAGAATACAACCATCTTCTCATTAGATGTCACAGAAGGGTTCGATGAAAATAGGCTTTTCCCACAAGTTCCAATCCCCTTATCTTTTTTCCCAGCTGTTCTGATTCTTCTAAAAATCAACTTCTCCTGATGGTTTCTGTTAATAGGTAATAAGACCAGTGATTCAAATCACTTATTACCCTCTTCGGGCTTTCAGACCATTCTAGCATGCTTCTAGTTAGAATAATGATTGCAGTGATAAGTCGACGTGAGAGGATAGTAATTTTATACATTAATGCTCATCGACCTCCTTAGATTTACATTAGCTCTTGCAATAATAAAAAACGTTCTAATGGTAGAAGAAATATTTATGAATATTTTAAATATATATGTGCCCTCTAGCAAAATTAGAGTTCTACCTGAGCTTTACTGGGATACATTTTGCTGCAGCAAAGCATGTACTTCCAGTACTGATAATAGATAAATTTAGATTACTCTGTGTTCTTGTATTCCTTCTCAAAATGTTGTATTTTGATCGTATCTACTAGCTGTGTCTTTAGAGCTCTTTAAGGGAAATTCACTTTAATTTATAAGACAAATTTAAAATAATTGCTAGCCCTGTCTCCTTCATCTTTCCTCCCGCAGGTGCACAGGCACAGGGAGACATGGTTATATTTACTATTTCCACAGAGTCTCCATGACCTAGTGACTAGCTCTGACATGTCTGGTAACAACTCTGACATAGAAGAAGATGTATACTTTTTAACTGGAAGTAGCTACCTTTTCAAATTCTTTAGCAAACCATTACTTGGCATAAAGTCACTTTGGAATCAATTAAATATGAACCTTTGTCACATCAGTATTCATTGAAAAGCACTTAGGTGATTAAAGACCCTTGGCTCCTAAATATTTGACTACTCACCAGCACCAGCCATTTAGAAAGCCTTATTAGCTCTTTATACTTGCAGGGATGGCAGCATGGAAAAGTGAACAAAATGAGGGGAAACATAATTGCCTCCAAATGAATTTTCCTTCAGCTTCGGCATGGCTTGTGCTATTCTGGGGTGTGCCTGTTCTTCCTCTAACTCCCCATACCTTCTGCTGCTACCTTCTGGGGCTTCCAGAACTCTCTGCTTCTACAGCACAGTCTTTTTAAATGAAAATTCAAGATAAAAATGAATGAATAAATTTATAAATTTTCATCATCCAAGTGGGATCAGGCTAGACTACACATCTTCCATTTAGCAAATGAAGCAGGTACGAGCGTGTTTAATATTTCAAGAACTGCCTTTGAACAAATTTTTAAACATGTTAGAGCACATGTAAACACGGTAAACAGGAATAACATTAGTTTTAAATGCTAACTTATGATACTAATCACAATAATGACTACTCTATTGACGGAATTATACATGAAGCTACGTGGTGTATGTGTGTTTCTTTCATCTTCTCAGCACCAATGCTATGAGGTCAGTATTTTCATCCTTGTTTATGTATGAGAAAGCTGAGGCTTGGAGAAGTAATTTAAGTAATTCAGGTGATCCTCAGAAGATTACACAGTGCTGTAATTGGAATTAGAATCCAGGCTGGCCTAAATTCTAAGTTCCGTTTCTTGACCATTAAGCCCAATGATGCCTTACAAAGGTTCTCTAAGAGTCTATAAAGAGATTTCTTCAGAACTGTTTAAGTTCTTAAGTGCACAACAACTTTTTGCTTGGACAGTTACTGAGTAAGGTAAAAACTTTTATAAAGCTTACCCTTTGCTCAATTTGTTTCTAATTCATAATTTTACCTGTTCAGATGGAAACTTCTAGTCATTATATACCTGATGCTTTCATGAAGTTAAGCCCTTTCATATATAAAGAGTCTAATATACAGTCTGTATATTCAAAACTTTACATGATCTTGTAATGCTTGGCTAAAATTTGCAAAACATTTACCTGTGCTTTATTTGGATAATCAATGTCATTAAAAAATATTCCACATCATAAATGTCCTAATTTAAAATAATACTCTTTAATAAATTGAAACAAATAATTATAAAAAGGAGATACTTTCTTCTCCAACAGCATAATAATGACCATTGACAGAATTAGTGAGTGACTAATTGCCAAAAGGGAACATGAAACAATTATTACGAGACCAGATAATTAATTTATAATGAAAAGGAGTGATACATTTGGCAAAAACTTTTTTAATGCTTTTTGATTTATTTTAAAATAATAATTTTTTTCCAAGTTTATGACTCTATATTTTCCCTTCTGTGTAATGCCCATTTCTTTCAATTCTATAGAAATTATTTTAATCTCAAATAATAAAAAACCTGTATGCTTATTAATCTGACTCAGGCTTAATGAGAATTAAAGTTTGGGGTTTTCCTGCTGTCAGCAAAGTCCTCCAATTGTCTCAGTTTTGTAAGATTACTGCCAATATATACAAATTTGCCAGGAATGTTACACTAAATATTAATGGGCATCGAGATTGCTATGCTTGAATTTTTATTCAATGTATTGTTCAGTAACTTTATTTTAATCTGCAGTATTATTAAGCTTGGTATTCTAGGTGTAGTGTTGTTAATATATTGCATATTTTCTCTCCTTTCTCCTTTCAATGTACAGATTTTTTTCTATTTCATACCTTTTAGGTCAGGCATACATGTTAACTTTCATGTGGTTTAATCCCCTGGGTACTGAATGCATTGCTATTTGGGTACTCACATGCATCCGACCATCTCGTGGAGTCCAGGTGGAGAAGAGAAATATCTTCATCTGAAGCAAGATGCTAGAAGACAGGAGAATGTTTTAGGTTAGTCAGAGGTTGCAGTAAAGTTAGGTGAGGAGAATTCTTCTCAAATATTTCTACGTTCTCTGTGGAACATAAGGCAATATTATGACTTATGGTGAAGAGCTGGGAAAGCAAGCTTAAAAGGGATCATAACACAGATGCCATGGGGAAGGTGAAGGGGGCTGACTAGGGACACGATAAGCGATCATGAGCAATCCTCAAGCCCCTTGACCATGTAGCCTGCGCAGGTCTGCAATATGGGCAGGATGTCCTTTCGGGATGAATGCTGATAAAGCGGCCTCTGGGCTGCCACAGATTCAATATGCCCAGATATGAGTTTTAGGGGCTAAAAAGGTGCCATTTTCTCATTTACGCTACTCTATGAAATATATATAGTAAGAGTCTTTTTCTACAAGACTGTAACATCTTTGTTAGTTTTGAATTTTAAAATAATGACAAATAAACCATGACATACCAGTGCAATTGAACACTACACATATTAAAAGGAGTAAGATGGGAAGGACCATACATGCTTACATAGGAGGATTTCATAGAGATATTAAATGAATAAAATTGCAACATGATATGTGTAGTAAGTTTTTTTTTGTGTGTGAATAAGTTGTGGTTAAAACATACCCATGGACTGTTATTAGTTTGTAGGCATTAGATAGTCTACAGGCTGCAATTGTGGAATTTAGACATGGCTTCATAACAGCATATTCCTTTGTTTCTGAGGCTGAATGGCTAACTTTTCTTGAAGTATATATGATAAAGTGGGACACTGCCCACCTTAATGTTATCATCTATCAGCAGGACTCTAGATGGTGTCATCTGATGAAGTATAAGGGTGTGGCTTGGAGATTTAAGTCTGGTTAGAGTAGGTCAGAGCTTTACTGGAAAAATCTTTACTATCCCAGAAAATGGAGGAGCTCTCAAATTCTCACTAGTAGTGAAACATTGTGAGAGAAGGAGAGAGAGAGAGAGAGACATTATTGAGTATTCTGGGCATAAAAGCTGTGTAGTGGGTTTGGTCTTTGAAGCTTTTATTTCCAGATATGGTGGGCAATTCATGTCAACACTCTCACTGAACTCAACTCAATAACAGATTTAAAAAATCTGCTTAAAGGTACTGAAAAACAAACAAACAAGCAAAAAATCTAATGATAAATGATCAAACCAGAATCCTGAGGGGGACAGAAGCATAGGGAAGATAACCTGGCATTGCGGATGCTTTATCCTGCGGGGTAATGCACTGATTATTGAGAAGGCAGACAGGTCAAGAGGCTTACTAGCCCTCTTGAAAATACCCATATAAATACAGGATGCCCAGGGAAATTTGAATTTCAGATAAATGAGGAGCAATTTTTCAGTATAATCATGTCCTGTGCAATATTTGGTTTAAGGTGAATGAAGAGGAAAAGCTAATATCCACAGGAGGTCAGCCCATATGGGTGTTCAACAATGAACTATTGATAGGCTTTATTGCCATGTGAGGTTTTAATTTATGGTGGACTAATACTTTCATACCAATAGTTTTTTATGACCACTGCTGCTTTTGTTCTTCTTTCCTAGTATGAAAGGAAAGATGCAGTTGAAAAATTTGAAAAAAGGATGGCTGAATTTGGCAGAAAAGAGAGGAGGAACTGAGATAAAATGGATGTTTAGTGAGTTGCTTTTTTCCTGTGTTACATTCCCCCAAACACACACACACACACAATGGGAGAAGAAAGAGAAGAAAATCAGATTTTCCTTTGAGAAGATTTAAAGATCTAAGCATAGGGGAATCTGTATAGTTCTTCAAGTGGGAAGCTAGTGGAAGTACTCACAGACCAACCACAAGGTAGAGTGAACAGAAGAAATGGCTGGATGGCATGTGGAGATGGGAGAAAGAGGAGATAGCAGAGCACTTCCTCTGCATTCTGAAAGGAGTAGAGAGAGCCAAACTGCCGGAGCCGGCTGTAAAAGTAGTGGAGAGGCAGGTCCAAGTATTTGAAGAAGTGCAAATTGAGGAGAAATCCCAACCTACAGCAGTGGTAAGAAGTAGACAGCCCACGTACAGTCAGCATACATGGTGGAAATCTCTAGGAATCGCTCCTCCAGACAACACCAGCTGGGCTAAAAGCTGAGGAAGTTCTAGGATGTGGGAACAGATGGGAAGGGTGTATATGTAGAGTCATAACAATGACCTAACAATGGCCCAAGTTGCTTAACAATGATTCCAAGTCAAACAATGACCTCTCTTTTCCTACTGGGATGGTTAACTTTATGTGTGAATTTGACTTTGCTAAAGGTTGCCCAGACAGCTGGTAAAACATTATTTCTGAGTGAGTCTGTGAAGGTATTTCTGGAGGAGATTAATATTTGAATTGGTAAAACAGATAGTCCTTCCCCATATGGATAGGCATCATCCAATCTGCTGAGGCCCTGAATAGAACAAAAAGATGGAGGAAAGGTGGCTTTAGTTTCTCTGCTTGAGCTGAAACATCTATTTTATCCTTCCTGGTTTTTGGACTTCTGGATTCAGATCAAGAGCAACATCAGTATACCCCTACCCACCACCCCTTGCCCAGTTCTTAGGCTTTTAGACTTTGACTGAATCATACCACTAGTTTTCCTAATTCTCCAGCTTGCAGACAGCAGATCTATGACTCTTTGACCTCATAACTGCTTGAGCCAATTCCTATAATAAATATTCTCTTATCTCTTTTTGTAGCTTATTGGTTCTATTTCTCTGGAGAGGTCTGACTAATCCACTTACTAACCCTACTGGGAAGTAGGCTAGCAAACCCATAAGAATACAGACAAGTTAGACAGCAAGTAGATACAGAGAAAAACCTAGGAATTTATGGTAAGCTAAGATATGATTGTATCATAAAACTAAATCTGTCAAGAAATCATTGTGTTGGGTTGAGAGACACTGAAATTGATTGGAGTAAAATGTTCACATTATATAGCTGGGATTTCAGAGACAGGTATAAATTGATTATAGAAATGAAGAGAATTTGCTTAGAATCTTGACTATAAATCTTCTACTTGTGATATCAGGCTATACACAGAAAGAACCTGAAGAAAGATCGAATCAAATTACTCATGGTGATTTGGGACTGGAGTGATGTGGAGTGGAATGGAGATATGGGATTATAGCAATACTCCCTTAGTACATTGTATATTTCTCAAATGTTTCAATTTTGAACCAAAGGAATAGTTTCATTGGAGCAAGAAATAGATCCTTCCAAACACGAGAAAGATTAACATTAACATGGGGAAATGGACTGAGCATATATAATCATGACCTTCCTCTTACTGGCGCACTGAACTACTAGGCAAAGCATAGCATAGAACTGGAAAACCTGGGGGAGATCCCAGTTGCTACATCTAAGACCTCAGATTCATTGATGAGAAGATGTACCTTCAGGGCACTGCTGTTGTAAATGCTGAGCAAAGACCCAATCATTACAATGTGGCTCTGCCTCTTTGGAAAAGCCCATGATGAGGCTCTGATTCGTGGCTAGGGTGGAACATCTGAGTTAACACAGGGAAAAGAATGACCTGTCATCTTGCTTCATGAATCCCTGGAAGAAATAATTTTCCTGCTCACTTTAGCTGTCTGAGAGAAATATCCAGGTAGAGTAGAACTACCACTTCCTCATTTAGCTGGGAGAGGATGGTTCTCTACACTGGAGAAGCCTCCTGGCTAAGCCTCCGTGAAGAGGACTTAATTTAGTCCTGTCACTTCCCATCTGCTGGTGGAGAAAATCTTATCATATTTTTCACTACTGGATCGTCCATTACTGCTGAAGAGCTGAGGTGACAACTCACACTGAGGAGGCTCTCTCTGACAGGAACAGGCAAAGGAAGCTCAAGAAGGAGGCAAAGCTGAAAAAAGGAAACAGGTGGCTCTGTTGGAGAGGTTGCACCATTAAAGGTGAAAAACAGAATCCATGCTGCTGAAAACAGAGTTTGTGGTCAGAACGTTAAATAGAGGAACAAGATTTCAACACAAAGGAGAAACACTAAAAAATGTAATTCATGACTGAAAATATGAGACATGCAGGAGAGTCCCAGGGGAAGTAATATGCAAATAATCAGCACTCCAGTAGCAAAAGGAGCAGATGGAGGTGGAATCAATAATCAAAGCAATAATCTTCAGCTCCCTGATCTGAAGAAAGATCAAAAGGGCTTATCACATGTCAGGTAGAAGTGATGGAAAAGGCATACTTCTGGATATATCTTTGTAAAATTTCTGGCCTCTGTGGAAAGAGAAAAAATATATACATTTTTCAGACAAATAAAAAAGTTCAAATTAATGAAAAAGAATGGTTCACTTTGACTTCTTATGTATGACAGTAGAAGCTAGTGGAACAATGGTTATAAGCTTTTAAGAGAGAAGGCACTGTTGTATAAAAATCCATGTATGACTGAAGAATTGTGCTGTATACCAGAGATTGACACAACATTTTAAACTGACTGTACCTCAATTAAAAAAAATCCTACTCCTGGAGATGTTATTCGTATGATGAAAGAAGAAGACATTTTGTGATATGTAGGAACTCAAAGTATTCTACTCATGTTCTCATTCAAAATTACTCAAGGATGTACTCAGCATAAATGACAGTAAATTTGAATACAAATCTAAAGCAAATGGAAAATAAAAAAATACAATAAATAGTAGTGAGCAGTGAATCTAGCAAAATATGTAGGTGTTGTCAAGTGGATGAGGATAAAGTGATTGCAAAATGTAATCACTGTTGAATAAGTATACTAAGAAGAGAAGAGGCATGCTCTAAGGAAAAAGTGAAAAATAACATGGAATTGCATTTCTAAAGTACATACTCAGAAAAATCTAGGATTTGGCAATGGTATGAATGAGTGAGAGAGTAAAATATTTTTATGGTCCTGCCACTGTGGTAATGGTAAAAGTACTATTACTTTTAATAAAAGAGCAGAGAAATATGGGTTTTAACATGACTGCTTAAAATACAGGCTGATAAACTATT